GAGGGGGCCCGGGCTCAAAGGGGCCTCCGTGTTCCGCTTGCCAGGGGGCCTTTTCTCTATCGAGGGGGCCTCCAAATGGCTTACTTTTTGACGGCCTCTGTATGTTTGGTGACGTTCTTAGCGTTATTAGTAAAGCTTAACCCTCACCCTGGCAGGGGGGTCGATGCGACCCCCCCTAAGGTTTTTCAAAGATAGCGTAAAATTGGCGGCGCGCAACGCCGCTAAATTTGGCACAACCTATGGGGCAACCTTTTTTCATGTGATCTGCAAATTTCAGGTCCGGTCGACCTTGGGTCAGGCCACCATGTCAGAAAAACGGGTACAAGGTTATGGTCAAATTTAATTTTTTATGTACCTGTCCAACGCACAGTTTTGGACTGATTTCCTTCAAACTTTCAGGATGTGCTAAGTTCACCGAGCTGTATAATATGTAGTTCGTTTTTTATGTCACTGACCTGAGGTCAGTTAGGGGGTCATTACGTCGTAATGTTAAGCCTATGGGAAAATATTCAAATAACTCCTATTCGGAAAATATAGAGATGTCCGCTTCGTTGTATCCCTTTTGTTCTTTGATACCACAGTACTTAACATAATGTCACTCGGTGTTTCTTTGTTTGGTGTACTTATCTAAGGTTCAGGTCAAATGAGGTCAACTCAGGTCAAATGACGTTTGTGCCGATAACTTGTCACATAATAGAACAGGTTTCAAAATGGTATCATTCTGTTCCTCTTGAACAGCTGAGTCGAATGATATGCAACATTAAGCATTTCAACCATTCCTAAGACTTAAGTTTTACTTAAGTTGTGCACTTAAGTACACTTTAATACCTACACTTTTAAGTACACTTAAGCAAACAAAAAAAGTATATCATTCGACACGCCTTGACGTGCTGAGTTCACTGGTGCTTTTGTTTTGCTCTATCTTAACCCGCGCCGGGCCGGGGGGTGTTTGAACACCCCCCCCCCCCCGGCGGCTTTTCGCAGCTCCGCGCCGCCGTTTTTAACACACCTGTTCGTGCATCTTTTCCGCACATGCTGTGAAAATTTCAGACCCAGGTCTCTCAAGGTCAGGTCAGAAACAAATTAGAATGTTCGTCATGGCTACACCGACCGCACGATTGCCTTGAAACTTTCAGCGATTGATGAGAGTAACAGTGTATCTCGTGTATCCTATAAAAGCGTGTATAAAAACCTATTAAACGTGTATCTCGGAATTTCGATATCGGTGACCTAAGGTCAGGTCAATTTTGCGGCCTCTCTATTATAATTCAATGGGAGAAAATTGAAAGGCGTCTGATTTGCACGAACGCCATTCTAGACACTCTCAAACATCGGGATGTAGGTAAAATGGACACACTGAACCCGAAAATTGCACCTGTGACCCGGAGTGTGACCCCTAGTTCTGAGATGTCCCCGAGGTCATCTCAGGTCACGAATAGTATCTAACAGTTTTTTGCTAATAACTTCTGATAGAGGCATGATAGAGCGATGAAAACGCCTTAGATGTGTTCGGCTCGACGATGCGGATCGACTGATATGCAACATGACCTTTTCCGGTCAGGTCCTGAGGTCAAATTGTTAAGTTGACTTTTCAAGGTCAACTTATAGTTCATTCGACGCGTTTTGACAAGAGGAACACGATTCTGGCAAAAGTAATGTCGTGGCTTTTTTGAGTCAGAAGTTATTGCCGAAAAACACTGTTCGTAAAAAACGGCTATTTTTGGAGTTTTTGCCCTCTGGAGGCTAAACCGTTGACCTGAGGTCAAATCTGAGGACATATTGGCGAAAGAGCGTCAAAAGAGCTATCGAATGCGCTTTTCCGCGGCGCTGTAGCTCTATCGGTTCCCGAGTTAGCCGTTGGCAGTTTCCAAAATGTTGAAATAGCCAACATTTTACCTTTGGTGACCTCTGGTAACCTGACCTTTGACCTGACCCAAAAAATGACTGAAGTGTTTTCGTACTTATTTTGGACGCTCTTTTGAATGCCGCTTACCGCGTGTCGCTACGTGACCCAGGAGCCGAGTTAGAAGGGGGGTTTTCAGACACCCCCCCCCCCGGCCCGGCGCGGAAGTCGCGGAGCACCTGCCCGGCGCGGGTTAATTAGATCAAAAGTTATCAGCGAAAACTTTTGACCTGTTTTAGCAAATTTTTTACAATTATACCTCCCAAAAACCCCTAAATATTGACCTAGAGCAACCAAATTTGCACAGGGACGAGGATTTTAAGAGGGCCACCTACCTACCAAATTTGGTATTTCTAGGTGCCATAGGATCCAATCGCGAGGGGGGTCGCATCGACCCCCCCCCCCTCTGCCAGGCCGCGTTATGAAAAATGCCCTGCCAGGGCGAGGCGCTGCCCGGATAGGACCTCTTGTGAAGAGGGGCCTCCTATCCAGAGATGGCCTCTTTCCCAGAGACGGTCTCCTTCCAGAGGGGATCCAGAGAGAGTCCTGCCAGAAGGGGCCTCTTGTGCAGAGGGAGCCTTCCATCAGGAGAGGGCATAAAGGGTCTCGTTCAAGAGGCCAGAGGGGCCTCCTGACTCCTGCCCAGAAAGGGCCCCTGTGCAGAGGAAGCCTCGGGGTCTCCTGCCCATAAAGGAGCTCCTGCCAGATGGGGCCTCCTGGCTCCTGCCTAGATAGGGCCCTCTGTGCAGAAGGGAGCGTCCCATCCAGAAGGGGCCTCCTAAGCATAAAAGGTCCTCTGCCAGAGGGGACTCCTGCCCATAAAGGGTCTCCTGCCAGAGGGGGCCTCCTGGCTCCTGCCCACAAAGGGCCTCCTGTGCAGAGGGAGTCTCGGGGCCTCCTGCCCATATAGGATCTCCTGCCAGAGGGGGCCTCCTGGCTCCTACCCAGATAGGACATTTTGTGCAGAGGGGGCCTCCTGACTGCTGCCAAGATATGTCCTCTTATGCAGAGAGAGACTCCCATCCAGAGAGGGCCTCCTGCCCAGAAAGGGTCTCCTGCAAGAGGCCAGAGGGGCCCCCTGACTCCGGCCCAGAAAGGGCCCCTAAGTAGAGGAAACCTCGGGGCCTCCTGCCCAGTATAAGATTTCCTGCCAGAGGGGGCCTCCTGCCCAGTATAAGATTTCCTGCCAGAGGGGGCCTCCTGGCTCCCACCCAGATAGGGCCATCTGTGCAGAAGGGAGCCTCCCATGCAGAAGGGGCCTACTAAGCAGAAAAGGTGTCCTGCCAGAGGGGCCTCCTGCCTATAAAGGCTTTCCTGCCAGAGGGGGCCTCCTGCTCCTGTCCAGAAAGGGCCTCCTGTGAAGAGCGAGCCTCGGGGGCCTCCTGCTCATGAATGATCTCCTGCCAGAGGGGGCCTCTTGATTCCTGCCCAGATAGGGCCTCTTGTGAGAGGTGCCTCAAATCCAGAAGGGGCCTCCTGTGCATAAAAGGTCCCCTGCCAGACGGGGCCTCCTGCCCATCAAGGGTCGCTTACCAGAGGGGGCCTCCTGTGCAGAGGGAGCCTCGGGGGCCTCCTGCCCATGAAGGATCTCCTGCCAGAGGGGGCCTCTTGATTCCTGCCCAGATAGGGCCTCCTGTGAGAAGGTGCCTCACATCCAGAAGGGGCCTCCTGCCCATCAAGGGTCGCCTACCAGAGGGGGCCTCCTGGCCTCTGCCCAGATAGTGCATCTTGTGCAGAATTATAGTAGGTTAGACAGGAAAGTCAAGTGTAAAAGTACCCTAAGCGGTGCTCAGGGGGCCTCCTAATTATGACCGAGCGGGGGGGGGGGGGGGGGGCCGGGCCCCAAGGCCCCCCCCTTGGGTGCGCCACTGGCTAGGTCGGTGGGATCAGTCCCGGTCCCCGTATCTTTGTTGCCGCTTGTTTTGGCGGCCGTAGGCAGACTGTGTTGATAAAGTCAGCGTCTGTTGGAACACCGTACCGCCGACAGGGAGCCCACAGGGGTCGTCCACCCCCCCCCCCCGCCTTTCCCTCCCGCAGCCCCTTCAGCCTTCAGTCGCCCGCGTCTCCAGGTGCAGTGTCGTCCGTTCAAGGCCACACAGTACCTCTACGGGTACTGCCTCCGGCCATTAGCGTGTGGCAAGCAAAGCACCCACGTTGAATACACAGCCGAGGCTCGATCATAACTGAGTTTGCATTGGCCTGCAGCCAATGAGGTCAATGTGTGCGGGTGAAAAACCTGTTTGGGAGGCCTAGGAATAGCCTCGGGTTTTTGTCCGACGGGCGATGGCGCTTCCATAGACTATTGCTGCCAACTGAATATCGGTTCTCGCGTAGACTGTTTAGCGGCACGCGGATAAATCACGCTGTCACGGTAGGTACCCCCGCCTCCGACCACCCTTGTGGCGCAGTTGGCAAGTGCGTTCACGTTTGGTGTGGGAGGTCCTTGGATCAAAGCTGACCTCTGGCAGCGTTTTCCTCGGCCGGCTCCTACCCAGGAGATGGCAGTAACTGGGGAGTGTTCGCTCGGTCGTGGGGATTACCGCTGTGCCAGCCAGCGCCCCCGGCCGCAGGTATACGGGCCTGATCCGCCTTTAAACAGATCCTTCGGTCCGGTGACATGTCCCGAGGGCACGGCCTCTCTTCATGTCCCGGAGCAGCCCTCCGACCTGCCGGGCCCGAGAAATCGGGATAGCCCCAGCGTGCGCACCAGTGCGGTGCCACCTGGGGTGCGTGACAGGAAGCGTGCGGTCAAGGCTGTCCCGCGTAGTGGGTGCCGAAAACGCTTCGTACCACTGCCGTGTATATAGTGTACTAACCCAGTATGAATGTGTGCTACTAACGACAAAAGCCCGGGTCGGGCAACAAAAATATTAAAAAAAAGGTACCCCCGGCTCCAGACTGGCTTTAGGCTGGTGGAGCAAAAGAAACTGTAGGTAGATGCTAACGAGTGCCTTTTTGATGAGAGGGTTGACGGTCGACCTTTCTAAGGGAAGGATGATTATCAAACATTCGCCGCGCTGTGGACAATTCGACGTGCCTACGATTCAGTTTTGAATATCCAAGTCACTTGTCCGCCATAGCGCGATCAACTAACAACGATAGCTCTGCTCTTTTATTGCGTATCGTACGATAGCATGGGTCATAAACATTACATCACCGCTATTCGCTAAATATCACACCGGTTCGAGCACAAGATAGGCACAGATTGGGGTCAGTACTCCCCCACTTCCGTCCCTCCCCTCCCGCCAACTGGCCCCTCGGGTTTACCTCTCCCCTCTACGGCACCCCATTGACACGGACCCCAGGCTCATAACGGTCTCTCGTCCCCTACCGCGTCCTCGCGTCAACAAGGTGCCCTTTCAAACCGGCCCGGCGCGCCAAATTTGAACGGCGCGCGCCCGCGGGGATCACATCTCGTCGCGGCGAGGATCTCTAATAAATAGACGATAACAGCCACAGCGACGATCCATGCCGCGGAGACGGCACCACGCCCATGCGTGAAATCACTGAGATAGTCGCCAATAAATCTCTATCGATACAGATTACAGCCCTCTGGCCATGCCCTGATACTGGCGGCCACGTGGGTACCGGCTGGCGTGACGGGATCGCGCCGCGCCGCGCGGTGGCGCCCCCTCTCCCGCCAGGCCGCATTGTTCGCGCGGTTTTTGCCGCGCGCTCCGCCGGCCAGCCTCTGAGCGGGCCGCGGCGCGCGCTAGCCTCAACGCAGCACTTCGCGCGCGAGGAGTCTGGCGGCCGGCGAATCTACTTGGCCACAGCGAAGCCGACGCGCTGGCGAGTCATGTCGAACTCGGTGTAGTACTTGCCGATGAAGACGTCGCCCAGGATCCAGATGGGTCCCATCGGCGCCGGCACGTCCAGACCGATGAAGCCCGACAGGCACATGGTCTGGCCGGCCTGCGAGACCTGCGGCGGACGGTGTTGGAGTCAGAACGGATAAGACGTTACACGGCAGGAGGAAGGCAGCCAAGAAGTCAACTGCTTACATGAGAAAGTTTCGTAGTCCATGCTGCAACAGCAAAAAGCCGGCACTGAAGGCCAGAGACGAACGCGATGTGACTAAAATATGCTTAAAAAATAAGCTACCCGGGTAGTAGACGTCAGACCACCAACTCGGAACCATATACGGTTCATATCAAAACCGCATCGTATCAATCACCGCACAAATCTCCGCCAATCTCCCATTGTGAAGTCGTCGCCCTGTCCTCCCAGCGCCGCGCGCTGACGCCGCCGCTGACGCCGCCCCTGGCGCTCCGTTCGCGGCATGGCGCGCGGGGCCGGCGGCCGTGCGGGAGGGGGGAGGGGGAGAGGGGTCGGCCGGTTACCGACAAAGGCAGCGGCGCGGCGGCGGGCCCGCGGGGAAAGTGGCGGGAGTGAGCCGCGTCCGCTGATCCCGCGCTTTCGGCGGTCGGCGTGCCACGTGGGTCCATGCGGCAGGGAAAAGGCGGGAAACGGACGGGGCCAGAGGAAAGGAGCCGACACTGAGAGTGATTTGCTGGGAAGTGTGTAGTAGGCCTGAAGGACACAGATTTTAAAGCACTGGTGACAGTGTTCTACAGTGGATAGATCAGGTGTGTCTTCTGCTCCTGCTCGCGATTTCCATGAAATGTTTTTCGTAAGAGAAAACAAAAGCGAGTGAGAGAGAGAGAGAGAGAGAGAGAGAGAGAGAGAGAGAGAGAGAGAGAGAGAGAGAGAGAGAGAGAGAGAGAGAGAGAGAGAGAGAGAGAGAGAGAGAGCGAGAGCGAGAGCGAGAGCGAGAGCGAGAGCGAGAGCGAGAGCGACAGAGAGAGGGGGAGGGAGCCCCATAACCAAGACGTCCATCCGCTAGAGGCCCTGATTTTTCGAGATTATTTTTTAGGTGTGGATGAATGATTCAGTGAAGACCAAATCTAAAAAACGGTCCTTTTCCCACCGGGTCATGCATTCTGCACCAGCCTTCTCACTAGCTTCCTCAGGCGGTCCATCGGAAAGGTTTCTAAAAATCCATTGAACTTTATCCACATAATAAAAATTGTTTGATGCGGTTAGCGCTGCACTTTTTCCACCCGATAACCGGACGATTCTACTGCGGACGCGCGTAACGAACAATGCATTGCAGGAATGCAAGGAGAAATACAAAACATCCTGCACGGCGAGTTTGATCGACGGGCGACAACTGCGGCGCGCTAGTCAGCGCACGACCGGTGTTGCGCAATCAAAGGTTGTTTGTGCGGTCATCATGCAATGCGGTACGGGCACTGCCAGCCCGACCAACGGTATGACAGCGGCAGGCGAGTCAGTACTTAGTAATCGTTGGTTTAGGGGAAATGGCAAAAATGAAGGATTTGAAACAGCAACTGAATCAGACAAAAATGTCCCCGGTGTGACAAGATAACAGATTCAATCTTGTATGCCTAGCGCATCGCCTTTGACTCGGCGCCGGACAAAGAGGGATCAAAAGAAATGAAGCGAACACATGCTATCAAACTGATAAACAAAAATATGAAGCACATCGGGATAAAGCTAACAAACTAAATGGAATTAAAACTTGCGCAAAGAATTGTAAATCCCAGCATATCAATCGTGAGTTGAAAAGCAACGCTGGGGCCACGGGCTAAAATACTTTAGACTTCAGAGTAACTAAGCCGGAAAGCATTGGCAATGGCTTCCAAACTTTAAAAACAATCCATCCACATACAACTGAAAACTTGCAGACCGCGGCAGATTTTCCTCGACATAAGCCCAGAGCGGCCTGTGAAAGAGTTCATTGACGTAGGTGGGTTCCTGGAAGTTGGAACCGCAACCCACCAGTATGCGGTCTTTTGATAAAACAGAGACTAAGCGCAACTGATCCCACCCGCCCGTCTCCGCAAGATGAGAGGCAGCGCTGGCAATCACAGCTTTCATACCTTCATAGGATAATCATACCGACATGTAAGTTGGGATCAGTGAAAAATAAAAAGCCAGAGCATCTACAAAGTTTCACGTTCCGAATCAACGTCTTCAAGTTTGTGCCTTTGGAATAATCAGGGATGCGGAGCCGGAGCCGGAGTCGGAGCCGGAGCCGCCGGAGCCGGCATATTTTGCCCGGAGCCGGAGCCGGAGCCGGAGCCGTGAAACAATATAGACCGGAGCCGGAGCCGGAGCCGGAGCCGCCAAAAAGGGGGCGACTCCGGCTCCTTTTTATTTTTTGAAGAGGAAAAAAAAATAATTGACCTAGTTCGGTTTGACAGTACAAGGCAGTGAAACATATGGTATGTACTTACGTCATGGGCAATCAAGTGAATGAAAAAAGCCGAATATCCCCAGTATCCCACAGTACGCAATCAACTTCCTGTCTGCTCCTCCCCCCCCCCCCCCCCCCACGTCTACTGCATCCCCAGAACATGAGGACCGGTCATCAGGTGACGGCCATTGTTTTCAAGCCAGTGCAGTGGACTGCGACTCCCAGCACCGTCTCTGCCGAGACGGGTGTCAGCTTACGATGGTTCAGTGAACTCCGATTCGCGGCGACTGCGTTTCCAATGCCATCGCTTCCTAGTCCTTTGTTCTGCCAGTTCTCTCCGAGGTGCGTTTGCGCGGGGACGCGGTCATGAGCCGGTCATGGCAAAGAGTAACGCGTATAACCAATCCAATTTTTCTTCCACCCGTATTTAATTGATTGCATAGGGGATGTACTGAGTCGGAGTCGGAGTCGGAGCCGGAGCCGGAGCCGCCGGAGCCGGACCATTTTACTCGGAGCCGGAGCCGGAGCCGGAGCCGCCATAACATTTCACCCGGAGCCGGAGCCGGAGCCGGAGCCGATTTTTTCTCCGGAGCCGGAGCCGGAGCCGGAGCCGTCTGAAATTTCCACGGCTCCGCATCCCTGCTTTGGATGGTTGCAAACCAGGATGCTTACCCGGAGGATGTAGTCCTTGCCCTCGAGCGTGAAGTTGCGGCCGCCCAAGATGAAGTCGATGGTGGGCAGGTTCGGGATCAGGTTGCAGTCCACCTGAAGAACAAACAAGAGAAAATTACAGCACACTGCATCACTTGCACAGTGAGTCAAACGATCACAGCTCTTTTCTGCATCCACAACTGTATGTTTCCTTAGCGACAAACTAACAAGTCTTGCTGGTACAATCAATCTCTATAAATTGAGCCTCTCCCAGAGTGTCGGGAGCCGTGTGAGACGGGCGCGGGGCGTGGGAGAGTGCCGGACCGGCTGCCCTTGGTTTCCGCCGCGGCCATTGCACCGTGGGGACTTATGCCATCCTAGCACGACATAAGTGGCAAATACGAGCATTTTGATATCCACTTTTTTGTCATCCATTTCACGTAGAATTGCCCAGTGCATCCATACCCGACCTTAAATCCTTTCAAAAACGATTGCTTACACCTCAAAACACCTCTCAAAGTGTAGCATTGCGCCGACCAGCATCCTGCTTCCCGGATATAGCGAAAAAACACATGACAATGAAACGCCCGCTCACTCGTTTTCCTGAACAGCAGCTTAAAGTCGCGATATGTTTTCATTATCTCTGTTTAATGAGGAAGATGATGGTATACACGAAAATTTTCAAAAATCAACCAAAGGTATCATTTTCGAAGGAAATGCTAAAAATGTTAAAATGCTTTTGATTCCGGGAGTTGAATCAGCAAACTGTTACCCTGCAAAGTTTGATACGCGGTGGTACGCGTGGAAACACATATCAAAATGTTCTCCAATAATTTCTGCGTCGGGGGCAACTCTCATTTTTTGCCGAAATTTGCCTAAACCAGTCACTATGAGACGTCAAAGCAGACGGTGACGCGTGGTTTCTTACGCCCCGCCGGGCCGCGCCGCGGCGGGTTACCCGACCGCAGCACACCGCCTGGGGGTTTCCGGTCAGTAGGGGTTGGGAGGAGGGAGGGAGGGGTGATACCATGTTGACCTTGCTATTTTCCATCGCCAAATATTGTTTTTGGATAAAACAACAACGCTGTTGCAACGCTGCGTCTACATTACTGGCTCCTACAGTTAATGTTCACCTCATGAAGCTTCAGTTATAGAGCTTTGATATAGGCAAATCGAAAACTGATATAACTTCGTAAAGTGGGGATGTAGGTTTTGGGGGTGGTGGTCACGAATTTCATGGTAGTTTTGATCAATGATGATCTTTTCATGCAAGGTCGGGTCAGGCTAGGCCCGACGATTAGGTGCCCTGCCGCCTATCCATAGGCCGGTGTCAATCACTACTAATGGCTCCGTAACAGGTTACGTAAGCACCAAAACTTCTTATTAAAGGTTTTAACGGGTGTTAAATTCGAAATTATCTTCAAGCACTCATCTAGAAAAATGCTTACTCGGAAAGGTTAACTAAGGTCATCTAAGTTAAATGACCTCGACCTAACCTTCACATGACCTTAAAAATACCAGGAACAAACAGCATTTCATATGTTGGAGCGTTAGCAACCACAAGCGCCGATGATGTGCGCTCACATGCGCCAAATCGATAGCAGCCTAACCTGGTCGGGAGAAACAGGTCATATGTCAAAACTTATGAAAGTCAAGGTCATGAACTTTTCAGTTCATGTATAAAATTGACCGACTCCAAGGTATAAAAAGTTTCGTCGCGTTCCACCACGTTTTGCTTGAGTAAGTTGCGAAAAACCGAGGGGGAGGATCTGTTCGACCCCCTCCCCTTCAAGTGCAAGGCTTCACAAGGTTAAGTCCGAAATGCCTTTTGATTATTGGGCTAAGCACGAGCAAATACCTATTTCTAAAAACAATTGTAGCTTCATTCCACTTCTTGAACGCTTCCACGCCCACGATGCATTGCTAGCCGAAGACGACTTAGCGCTAAGTCTATGGGAAGGGGTGGGGGGAGGGATGGATGCAACAAGGGAGCCAACCATGTTGTCTGGGATCAGTAACCATTAGCCCAACCATTTGACGGCGAAATAAAGCTAGTAAAAGTAGCGTAGGGTGCGATATGAATTAAGTCGTGCTAGGATGGACAAAGTCCCCACAGTGCATTGACTGTATCCCTCCCCGTCCCGCCAGACCAGTCCAGCAGGCCAGCACATACTTCAGAACGGAGCGGAACGGGTTTTCCGTCCAGCAGAGCGGACTGAAATCGGACGTGACGGTAAGCGGTCCTCTATCGCGCCGATCGCAGGACTGGGGAGGCTCTGCGGTTGTGAACTGAGTCGTCCGGGCTTTTGGTGGATGAGCATGCAGCGTGACAGGGAAGACAGAGCTGGTGATTATCATGTGCAGCCAGCCCTGACGATGCGAAGATAATCACCTGCGGGGCGCCAGACTGGCGCTAAAATTGGGGGAAATGACCTTCGCTTGCAGCACAAACAGATGCCAACTGCATTGTAGCTTTCCGTCTAAGAAACCTGCCCTCCTCGCCCCCGAACGTATTTACGGATATGCATCTAGATTGATATCAATGAAAATTTTCAATTTGTAACATTAAAAGTTCCTATCATACCTTGTACTCCCCGCCGACGATGAGCACTCCTCCGATGGCCTTGTTGATGGCGTCGGCTTCCTTGGTGGGTGCGGCGATCAGCGAAGTGCCCGTGTCGGCGATCGCCTGGCAGCCGCCGGCGCAGAACTTGGAGCCGCCAATCTCCAGGCTGCAACGGACCGGCGCAAATGGATGTCAGCATCAGGTAAGTATTGGGCATCCAGCACGACATGACGTCAAAGCTGCGAGCCGGACACAGCCGGGACACTCGGCATTATGTCGAGGTTATATCTATTATTATTATACCGGCCACGACTGTGCCAGCGCCCTGGGAGCCCGCACAACGGAAACCTGCACTGCGCACAATGCACACGGACAGGAAAATCCACGAACACTGCCTAGTATCCACACGGCTGATTAGCGCACCAAATCGGTGGGATGGGGAGGTGGAAATGTTATATAACAGTGACAAACACAGGAAGTTCCGGTTATGGCCTTACAGTGAAGGAAATGGAACGAAGAGCATCGAATTCTCACATGTTGCGATTTCGGCTGAGAGCAGAATGGCAAGTGAAAATGGTGGGTCGGTGGTAAGAATTTAGCACAATAATTTCGGAGATGATTGTAGTTAAGGTCACGTAGGTATACTACACCCAACAAGGGCTCTCAGGAAGGCAGCCCAGTTCGTCCGCTCGCTATCCTCATTATCAAATACCACGCAAGTCCGGCCCCGTTGATGTCCGTCACAAACACTGACGGACTGGGGACGGCGAGTGTCAGTCAGCGACTGACAAAGGTCAGATGAATCAGCTCCAGCGAGTGAATCCGGCGGGTGAGTCACACCAACAAACAGGACTCGGCATAATGCTATGGTAAACGATTCAACTCGAGGAGTGACATCAATTCAGAGGGTTTTCTAACAGTGATTTCCTAGGAGTGATTCATAAACACCAAACATGATGAATCATTGCAGATTCAAGTTATGAATCATTGCAGACTCAAGTTAGAACAAGCGGCGCCTACACGTCTTTTGTTGCCAGTTCGCCATGATTCACGATGAATTATGAATTCATCATGAATAATTTCGACCTTGGGTGATTCACACATTAAACATGAATCATTGTATATTCAAGTTAGAACGCGTGACGTTTACAGGTTCTTTCCTGCCGCTTCCACTAATGATTCACGACGAATCATAAATAAATAAATCATGGATCGAATATGAATCGATGCTAAAGAGCGATGTTGTACCATGACACAGTTTGCGTGTCCTGTGCATTTACTACTTGCATTAAATAAAAATAAAGTTCGAGTAAGAGTGACATTGAAGTGCTCTTAGGCGGGCGCCTGTGCGAAAACTCAATATCGTTTCTGCCGTGGGGACTAGCCAGCGGCAACAACGGTTGCTAACATCTCAGCGCAATGCTCGACAGTACAGGATTGCGTCGCGGGGGAGAATGTCGGTCTCTTCCTTACCAAACTTACACAGATGACAGAAGTCGTTTCTCCACCAGCAAAAAAGCGCCGCCTTTGTGAGGACTGAGGACTACATCCTGGTTCCAAATAGAAAATAATTTAATCCGCAGACCGCGACACCAAAAGGCGGTCGCAGCCGGGCACAGCACACACCCGGCCACACCATAAGCACCTCATCCATCTGCGGCGACCAAACAAACACCGCTCGCCCACACTCCAGCAGCCTCACGCCACAGCACGCTGTCACCACTCCACTGCAGACCAGACTCGACCAGCAGATCGGTGGGAGTGGTGACAACCAGGGTAAGTCACCACTCAACCACTGCACCAGGCATTATCGGCATTGAGCTTTGGTTGCTATTAAAAACATAGCAGCCAGTGACTCGAATCTCGAAAGAATCAGCGGCGTCAGTGGGACCCCCAGCGCCGGCGGCATGGCCGTTCATAGGGTAGTGGTAAGCCGACCGAGTGCAAAACCGCAACTTTGCATATCTGTGCCATCAACAGATCCACGGACAAAGCCTTGAGCGTACGGTGGTTGCATGCCAAATTAACGGTCAACACAGTGCAACGCGAACATAAGGTACGATGTTGTAAATGTATCGTGCAGCCCGAATGCATCTGCATTCGACGTTGTACGAAAATAAACAAGCTGCGTTAAAAACCGCAAGTTTAGTGCAAGTGCGCTTCGCGGAGGGCTATGGCCATGTGTTTGTATGATGCCCATGCCGGGCCTGTAGGCTTTATACCAGGCTCTACGATAAAGCCTCTGATACCGGCGCGGGGCTGACGTAGTCCGGCGCCGGGCCTCACCGCGGGAGTTCCCACGTGCAGTGTGCACACCGTGCAGAGACGGCCGTGCACTGCACTGTCAAGGCCAGCGACCGGGAGGGGGGGGGGGAGTGGAAGACCGGCCGGCCGAGAGATCGGCCCGGCCCGGTCCCGGTGCAGCGGGAGGCCAACAACATACCGGCTGAACCGCCCGCTCTGCCCCCCAAGGGCGAACACTCAAATTATACACACCGTTCTAGATAATCGGCACTAAAAAGGCTCTGGTTTCACTTTCGCAAAGAAAGTGAGCGCAAATAGCCGTTACTTGTGCTGAATGATTATGGACACCTTGAACCGAAAATTGTGGGATCACTTCAATTTCTTCAGACTGCTGATGCTGGTTGCTTCATTTTTTGAGCTCACAAAGAAAACAATTGCCTTAAAAATTATGGTGAGAAGATACTAGCCATCTCGGTCTAAATACGAAACTAAAATTCACATTCTTCACAACATACTGGTGCCCGCAGCAATTCAAACATTCGGATGACTTTTGTAGCAATCATGCCACACGGAAGAGTGTTCTACGCACGCCCAGCTTCCGGTGTCTACCGTAGGGCCGAGCTCCAGAATAATTTTTTCGCGGCCCGCGCGGCGCACTGTCCGCCGGCAGAGCCTCGGCGGGCCGCGCCGTGTGGTCGTGAATCACAGCGCGGCAGCGCCGGCCGGCGTCTCGCCGCTCCTTCTTCCGCGCTCTCTCCCCTCTCCCTGTACCGGATCCGTGCCCGCCGTGGGCCGGCCGGTGAGGGAGGGACGGGGAAGCAGGGGCCGGGCCGGTTGGTGGCCGGCCCGCCGGCAGCTCAGTCGGTTGTCCGGGTTGTCGGTATGCCGTTTACAATAACACGTGAAAGTGGAGACTGCTCACCAGTCACCCTAGTAAAACCAGCACGGTTTCTACACAGCTCTGCAGATTCAGTTTGCTACAATTTAATGCTTTATTTTGAAAAATCTTTATGACTTATCAACTAAAATGATTCAAGCTGCCACATCAAACATTATTTAGTTAGCCCTTAAACTTGCCATCATCGGTAAACTGCACGAATTTCGAGACGAAGAACGAGACCCCCAAACCTCCCGATTCTTGTGATCCGTCATTGCAATCTGCAATCTTTCAGCTCTTCACTCAATACCGGACAGCTATATACCATAAATCATCCTCAACTGATAGCCACGTACAGTCACCAGCACTTGCTACTAATCACCTCGTTTTTGTTCAGTAGTTTGAAGACCGATCAATTCTCAGTCGCGCAAGATACGTCAAACGATCCGTTTGGTCCTCCGATTTTCGAATATCTAACTTGTTTTTGTATATTCGAAGCATTTTGGGATGGGGAGCCAAAAAACCTCTTTTCTGCCCTAAAGTGTGCCCCAAGAAGTCGTAGAACCTAGTCCCGCCTCTGATCCACAGACCACTAGTGCCATCTCTTGTCAGCCGAACAAGCCGCAGAAGTAAATAATGTCACGTGACCTTTGCACACGCTACAATTACTACGCAGCTGTAGTGGGGGAAGCGGGGCGGAGGCGTGGAGAGGGACGCGATCGGTCGGCTGGGGTCAGGTCGCCGAGGTCAGAGGTCATCCGCCGGAGGGTGTTTGAGCGGTTGGGCCGTATGGGCTGGGGCCTGCGGAGTGGGAGCGCCTGGACCTGTCTGGAAACAAGCCCTACAACGCAGTGACAGTCGAGAATATTGTGAGGAAAGAGAGAGAGAGAGAGGGAGATGGAGAGGGAGAGAGAGAGAGAGGAAGAGAGAGGGGAGAGATGGAGAGAGAAAGAGAGAGAAAGAGAGAGGGAGAGAGAGAAAGAGAGAAAAAGAGAGGGAAAGAGAGAGGGAGAGAGAGAGAGAGAGAGAGAGAGAGAGAGAGAGAGAGAGAGAGAGAGAGAGAGAGAGAGCGAGAGAGAGAGAGAAGAGAGAGAGAGAAAGAGAGAGAGAGAGAGAGAGAGAGAAGAGAGAGAGAGAGAGAGAGAGAGAGAGAGAGAGAGAGAGAGAGAGAGAAGAGAGAGAGAGAGAGAGAGAGAGAGAGAGAGAGAGAGAGAGAGAGAGAGAGAGAGAGAGAGAGAGAGAGAGAGAGAGAGAGAAAAACTGAAAGGAAAACCAGAGAGGGTAAAATGAGAAAGAGGGCAATTGGTAAATCAGTGAGAGGGAGCGAGAGAGGAAATATTTAGTTGTATCAGCTTGTTTCACATGTAAAATGCAAATTTGCTTTCCATCATTACAGCTTCGGATTGGAAATTAAATTTTAGCATCCTTATGATAAACCCACGTTGACGGGATGCAGTAGCGGCGGAACACCTTCAATTAAGGGGGGGGGGCACTGCCGACTTTTGGCCCTATTATTTCCATGCAACGCTCATAGGGCTAATGAAGAAACGCCAAAATCAGAGGGGGCACGGTGTCCCGGTGCTCTCCCCGTTACGCAGCACAGTGAAAACTAGCACAGTGACAATCGTCTGAAATAAAATTGGATTCAGTAAGAACTAAGAACTTCATTGTCCGAAAACCGCTGACAGTTGATAGCTCAATGACACTTAGAGCCGTGCAAAAGGAGGCGTGAAAACACTCTCCTCATTTCGTTCTATTACGAGAGGGCCTTGTCATGGCGTGAGAAAGGTGCTTTCAAAATAAATGACACTGTATGAGTGAATAAATATTCCGCGCCCCCTTGGGCTATTGGCGGACCCTACCACCTGATCGGGTGGTGCAGCCGTTTCGCCCTCCACCTGAGATCTCGGAAAGTTACCGACCGATTTTAAACATTCCAAGAGCGTTCGATAGCCCACCAGGGAACTACCATGTTACCAGGTTTCGTTGACCTAGGTGCAACCCATGACGTCACAAGTCAGGTCAAAGGTCGCATTGTTTTGACC